AGTGAACTCTCAACCCTGGGTTTAACAGGCCAATGCTCAAACCCCTGAGCTACCCCAGCTCAAGTTTTGGAAGCAAAAAGGCCATTTCATGCACAGTTAAATGGCCCATAACAAAAGGAATTATAATAGCTAGTGATTAAGGTCCTGGTAATAGCTATTCATACTTGGAAAGAATCCACAGCACAACTATTTCAATTGCTAAAGCAGTGAAGTCTGGCATGGGTTTGAAATAGAAATAGTCCAGTTTCATCCACCATATCCTTTTGGTATTAAAAGTGAAATCCTGATGCCAATGAAGTGAATGGGAGTTTTGTTATTGACTTCAGCAAAGTCAGGACTTGATCTTATAGCTTCTCTCTCAGCCCAATCTTAGTGTAAGATAGGGCACAAACTCCCCACAGGCCTCTGTTCCCTTCGCCCCATCCACCCTTTCACTGTTACTTATTTCCCTGTGCCCTCTGGAAACCAGGTGTACGCTGATGGTTAAGCTCCTTAACATTCCCATCACTGAAGCCTTGATAGTCACTTATTTTATCAACTGGATTGCAAGCAGCCATGGTCTGTGGTGGCTGTACCTTTCTGCAGTCCTAACAGCTACTGCAGAGGTTTCTAGTGACACAGAATATGGTTTCGACCCTTTGTCTGCCAGGTGTCATCTGAAGTTCATCTTCTATAGGTTGAAGAGAGATAGGAATGAATGGCAGCCCTTAAAACTGTTTGGAGACTAAAAAAGGGATTTATCTGCATCATGTTCAAATTCCTCAGCCTAACCTTTTAAGCTTTGCACAGCTCCATCTCTACCTATATCTCTGCTCTCTTTTCCTCCTACGGCCAAACTCAAGATCTTGGTTATGCCCAACTTGATCTCATAACTGCCCCCCTTGATACTGTTTCCCACTCTTAATTTCATGCTTTTCTTCATGCTGCCAGCTGTGCTCGGATCAGAGTTATAGTTCCCATACATTTAGAGTCCTTCCACAGCTGGTCCCCTTGCATCAGCTTCCTGCTCCAGCTTTTGAGTCCGATCACATATTGTTTATATGGAATTAGCTTAGAGTAGGGCTGAACGCTCCTCAGGTCAGAGGCCTCATCTTCTTGCTGGACTATAAAGCACTGAGTCCCCTTATGATATTCTAGGGGAAGATTTTCAGTGGCACAAATGGCACCTAACTGCCATTTGTGCCTTTGAAAATCTCCCCCATTAAAACCAGAAATATGTTAAATATAGCAAAATTCACAGCAAAAGTGACAGAAGATAGATTATATTGTAAAAAGATCCTGTTACATTGTGACACTTTATTTTCACCTTTCACCAGTTCATATGCAGCTACATAAAAGGCTAAATAAGCTATTAACCATATTGATTTCTAGAGATACACAGGCCAGCAACCATTCACATAATATATCTGAACTTTGCCATTGATTACTGAAAAATGTTCCTCATGACTATACACCTAGTTAATGAAAATGGAATATGGTCTCTGGTTCAGATTACTGAAAGATTTTAAGAGGCTCTAATCAATTTTGGTTGTTGGGTTTAGTGTACGGGTGCTAGGTAGTGTTGCCGGCCTGTGATATACAGGCGGTCAGATGAGATGATCTGATGGTCCCTTCTGGCCTTAAACTCTAGGACTACAAATTTTAAATGTCACAAGTCAGAGGCCGTGGGTGGGGAAGACAAAGGACAGGCTTACTTTTGAAAACATTTATTTGCTATTATTTATTTATTTGGATTTAAATAATAATTTTAGGATGCCTAGCTGAGGTTCTAGACCTCACAACACATCATTAATAATACAATGAAGTCTCAGAAGCATCAATGTAATCATTTCAACAGGAACTCAGCCAGCCCGAGACCTCCGGACACTCCTTTCCACCCTTCATTGTTGTGGGAAGTGTACCTTCAGCCCTCTCAGACAGGTGTCTTTTGCACCAATTTGAGGCTATTTCTGTGTGTGCATGAAAGACAGACAGACGGACACACACACACACACGAGGGTGGGTGGGACAAGTTCCGGAGTCCCACAGCCCTCACAGAGAAAGCCCTGACAGCCTCCCCGCACCCTTTTATAATGAGGAAAATCCAGCACAAGCAGCTTGGCAGACTGTAGTATGGCACATCCTTGCAATAATTCATGGTTTTTTTTTAAACTCTGGGATTATTCAATTCACGGAGCTCATAAGAGCCATCGGCTTTTAAATATGTCCTGATTGGTCAAAATACCCTTGCAGGGATTCAGATATTTCTGCCCCGTTGGAAAACTGCTGACCAGACACTCCTACAGTACATGATCAGCATCCTGATTCTGAAACACATGACCAGAACAAGGAACAGAACCCAATCGGAAGAGAGTTCTCAACACAGATGGGGGTTGGAGGTGCATTTTCCTCAAGCAACTTAGCCGCATGGTACCTATAACAGGGCCTGCACTAGGAGAATCCAACAATCTGTTTTCCACACCAGAGAGGTTCAACTGAGTCCAGACCAGAATACTGTGGGGTTATGATGCACTCACAGAAATATTATCTCCAGCATTGTGGAGGAGTGGTTAAACACATTTTTTTAAAAGATGGGGAGGCTAATTTTAATTTGTACTTTATGATTTTTTTATTAAGTCTTTTAAAAAACAAGCAAATGACAGCCCCGCTTTAAAAAAAGAAGATCTTGGACTTATATTTGTTTGTTTCTCTAACTCATACAGCACAAGACCATGCTCTTCTCCAATTTCTCTTTGTAAATGGATTATTAAACATACTGGTTGACTATTGGAGAGACAAGGTGGGTGAGGTCATATCTTTTATAGGACCAACTTCTGTTGTTGAAAGAAACAAGCTTTCAAGCTACACAGAGCTCTTCTTAAGGTGTGGGAAAGGTAATCGGAGTGTCACAGCTAAATACAAAGTAGAACAGATTATTAAACATAGGAGTTAACACATGTGGCAAGGGACCATTCAAAACGAAGTGGGTCATTAACAACTCTGCAGTTATAGGACAAATAAGGATTAATAGGTTACAGATTGTTGTAAAGAAACAGGCCTGGTCTACACTAGGAAATTAGGTTGGTAGAACTATGTCAGTTGGGTGAGGGGGGGAGGGTGAAAAATCCATAGCTTTGACCAAAGCAGTTAAACTGACCTAACCCTGGGTGTAGACAGCACAAGGTTGATGGGGGAAATTCTCCTATCAACCTAGCATCTCGGATAGGTGGAGTACCTATACCAAGGGAAGAGATTCTCCCATCAGCGTAGGTAGTATCTTCACTGAAGGGATACAGTGGCACTGCTGCACTTGTGCCGCTGTAGCGGTTTATGTGTAGACATGCCCACATAAACCCAATATGTCTGAATCCATGATTTCCAGTGTCTAACAAAGTTATGAATTTAAACATCCAAACTCGTCGTTTGAAGGTGTTGTGCAGGTTTCCTTTGAGGATGAGACCTGAGGGGCCAGATATGGAGTGATTGTTTTGTGAAAAGTGATTACCTTTTCCAGATCTGAAGAAGAGCTTTGTGTAGCTCGAAACCTCGTCTCTTCCACCAACAGAAGTTGGTTTAAGAAAAGATATTACTTCATCCATCTTGTCTCTCTCATATTCTGGGACCAACACATGGCTACAACAATGCTGCAAACAGCTGGCTGAATATGGCACAGATTGGGAGAGTATGTACTTAACAACTTTCTGAAAACTGAGCAATAAGGCAAAAGCAGCCAGTAACGACTACATTAGCACTTATCAGTTCTGTTATTTTCTACATCCCCAAAACATGGTAGGCATTTCTCTTTCCTGTTTCTACGTATTTGGAATCGGATTCTGCCTACTCTATTTAGATTATGTCTACGCAAAGCAGCTTTTAGCAACATGGCTGTGCCGCTACAGCTGTGCTGCTAAAAGGCGCGCAGCATAGCCACTGTTTGTCGGCAGGAGAGAATTCTCCTGCCGACAAAAAAATTCTCACCCCCAACGAGCAGTGTTAGTGTTGTTGGCAGGCAAGCGTGCCTGCCAACAAAGCACTGTTCACACCGGCGCTTGTCATAGGCAAAACTTTTGTCTTTTTGAGGAGGGGAGGGGGGTGCTTTTTTAACACCTCTGAATGACAAAAGTTTTGTCTTTCATTTGCAAGTGTACACAAAGCCTTAGTGTCGGTAGCGGAACACGGGACAAAGTCCACAGCCACTTAAAGTAGAACAGCACCTCAGTTCTTGACTCCCTATCGATACATAGGACCTAGTATATTAATCTCAATGAGATGTACATGCCTGGAAAGAGAGAAGCAATGAGCTATGTAAGCAACAGGACACTTTTGGATATGAGGTTGATGTGAGATATGTGCATTTCTCAGGCCAAAGGCCTACATGCACCTGAGAGGTGTAGTTACCTCTAATTGTTACACTTCATTCAGTGTGTCATTATTCTATTAAGAAAATGGTAAGATTAGGAAATCTGAAGACATGTATTCACTGGAGTCTGTAACCTTAGCTAGCCAATTTGTTTCCTCCCTAATCCCAACTTTCAAAACATCAACAAACTCATGAACCCTGTACAGTAGAGTAAACAGCAAAGAAGTGGAAGCTCTGGCTAGGGATAGCCAACCCAAAATAATCTGAGTGAGAAAACAGAAAGTGAGAGGAAGAGAGAAAATCATCTGAACAGAAAAGAATGCAAAAAACAGGTATTTATGAGAAGTGCATCTTTCTGCAGATCCTGAACAGTAAGATGAAAACCCTGCTGTGCATTTAAAATGATGAATTGCTGACCTGGTTTTACTTCAAATGCACCTTTTCATACAGTGACTTTATTCTTTTTAAAAGCCCCTCCCCGCACACACACACACACACAAACTGGGTTGTGATGTCCCTGGGATTGATTACACCAGGATACTCCTGTATTTATAGATACAATGTTATTTTTGTGACTCAGAGCCATACCATTTATCAAACTCAAAGGAAACCCATTCTTAGTCCCATACCCCACCCTCCTCCCTCACCCTCATGAATTTACCTCTTTCAGGTCGTGGACGATAGCAGTGAGCCTCTCATTCTCTGCTTGAACCTTGGTGACCGCTGCCCTGCTCTGTTTCAGCTCATTTTGCATCTCCAAGATCTTCCCTAGGTAATAAGCTTCCTTTGATGCAGACTCCTGCAGGAGAGTCTCTTCACGTGTTTCACCATCTTCAGCCACTTTGCGGTGGATTGAGAATGATTGTCCAAATGCCTGCAAGAGTAAAATAATGGAAGCCTGTAAAAATCTACTCATTGTAGAGGGCAACTCTATCCTGCCATGGGGAATGGACCACATCTGGGACCTCTAAGCTATGACCAACTAAACATTGTATCAGCAGCTTTCCAAGAGATGAGGGTGTGACAGGTTGAGCCCCCTGTCCGGGATGCCACCTGATGTGCTGGGGTCCCACTGGTTCTGCCCATTCCACCAGCCTGGGCTTCCTCACCCTGTCCTAGCTGTGCCAGGCCCTCAAGCCTTCTCCAGCACACATACACAGGTAGGGACATACCCAGCTGCAAACGGACACAGACACTGAGATCAGCTCCGTGTGGGAGGAATCAGCTCGGGGACTGCCCAGCACTCACATGGTGTATACCTCCTTTGGGGCATAAAACCAAAATAATATTGTCTTGAACTATATAGAAAGACCTGCACAGTACAAGCTCATAAAAATTTGCCCCCTCAAGTATGAATGGCACAAACTGGGTTTTTAAATAAACAAGAAATTAGATTATTAACTACAAAAGGCAAATTTTAAGTGATTGTAAGGATAGCAAAAAGAACAAAGCAGATTACTGAGCAAATAAAACAAAACCCGCAAACAAAGCTTAATACCCCCAAGAAACAGGTTACAAAAGGTAATTTCTCACCCTAAATGTTGTTTTAGGCAAGTTGCAGCGTTTCTGTAGCTTAGAGTTCCAGTTATTTTTCTTTACAGACTGGACCCGTCTCAGCCTGGACTCAACCCCTGCCTTTCCCTTCAGGTGTTTTTAGCAATCTTCCTTCTTGGACTGGGAGGCAATGGAGACAAGTCCTGTTTGCCTTACTCCCCAGCCTTAAATAGAATTTATATAAGGAAAGAACCCTTTGTTTCCAGTGGAAAAATACCAGCAGTGTCCAAGATGGTACTCTGTATCAGATGACATCATCAGACGACCCTGTAGTGTCAAAGCAACATCCCAGGAAGCTCCTCAGGATGGTGTGAGATTAGTATCTCCAAAGTTCTATTGTCCTTCTTAAATGGTTCATTCAGGCAGATGGGGGAATGCCCACCAGACAGTAGGCATTCTCCCAAGTACACACACAGTTGTAATTGTTACAAAGTCAATATTCCTAACGTCAAATACAGAAATGATACATGCTTGCAAATAGCATAAACACATTCAGTAGATCATAACCTTTTCAACAATACCTCACATGACCCATCTTGCATAAAACATATCTTAGTTATGCCATATTCATATCATAACAATATTTCTATGATGAATATGGGGTGTAATGTCACAGAGGGCCCCACTTAATTTGCATGAAATAAAACACATTGAAACTGTTGTTGTCTGTAACATAGATGTAGCCCAGAACGAACACAGGTACCACCGTGCAATATTTCATCTTCTTCCAGGCAGTCTCCTCTGAGAGCTAGATGGTGCACTGCTTGCTGAGAAATTCTGTCTTCCTGGGCTCAATATTCTTATTTGTTTTCCATAGCACCTAGGAGACCTATTCATGGACCAGGACCCCATATATTGCTAGGTGCAGGACAAAACACAGAACAAAAAGACAGTCCCAGCCCATGGGGCTTACGCCATCGGTAGCCATTTGGCCATCACTGAACTACGTGATCTAATATCTGCAAGTGCTCTTTTTCTCTAATTTATATTCAATAGTTTTTTTTAAAAGAGTGTACATGGCTAGTAGTGCTCCATACATTGTCTTCCATTTTCAACAGTGCCTTATGATGTGACCCAACTGCAGGCAGTCAGGGGCGCAAAGACAACATGTTAAGGCTCATCACAATTCACAAGAAAGTTGAGAAGGCTACATAGGCAATGACCATCTCTATTACTGTACAGCAAAGAGGGATGCCACTTTTAAACTCTTACAAAAATAAATCAGAGAGAGTTTGACAGCATTACTATTTTTATTTGCTTTCTTTTAGCCTCTTCCTCCTGCTTCCCTGCTCGACTCCCTTCTTTTCTATCCCCCATTCCTCTCATGAAGAGAGTATTATTATTTAGGGATGAAAAGAAATTTCTAAAGGAACAGATTTTTGCCAAAGCAGCAAAGAGTCCTTGGCTACCCCTTTGATACTAGATATTTGCCAGTTACTCTTTCCCTGCTGCTGGCTTGAGTGATCCCCTTTCTTGCACAGTGGTTAATGAGAGAGATGGTTGCTTTATACAGCTCTAGTTTCGTACTACAGCAGGCCCAGTAGAGATCAGCAGCATAATTTAGCTCGATAAGACAGACAAAAAAGCACATAGTGAAGAAACATCTGCCACTTCATTTTAATTACTGTTAGTCAAAACCGTGGATAACCTACTCAAAACCAATGGAAGTAACCAAGTATAAAGAGCCGCTATCTTAATAGTAGCTAACGCTCTCTCACATTTCTTAACTCGAAAAATTATTCTTGCTTGAAGATGGTAATAGTCTTCCCATTCCAGGGCTGACAAAGGTTATGGAAGAATCTATTCCTCTAATGAAGACCCTCCGAAAAATTTAATTTCTGCTGTTATTAGCTTCATTCTCAGACTGATCCCCCAAACCCAAAGTATACTAGACAGTTGTTCTTCTTGTAAACAATACTCTCCTTTATCTTCTCATTAATAGAAGTGTCATGCCAAATTAAATCCATTGCCTTACTGTTGTTATTTATAGCCTTCTCAGAACACATGCAACATTTTACTGGCATCACAGCTGAAAGAACCCTTGATAATTTCATCGCAAAACTCAGTTCATACCTTTGTACTTTGTAAGTGTGGTTTACTTCAAGGGTATTGTGAAATCAGCATTAAAGGATTCTAAATATATTCAATAATATATTAATCCAGCTGTCTCTTCAAAAGGCTGCAAGTTCTGAAACAGCAGGAGTCAGCAACTTGCTGGATGGGTTATTTTAAACAAGAGGTTCGATTTAAAATAATGAAACTGTTAATTGTGATTCAGTCAATACACCTGTTAATATAACAGTGAGTTAGGAACACTGCTCATAAAGTACATCTTATGAAATAAAAGGTGCATTCAGTGGTTCACTATTAATGATTAAAGGCCTAAGCAATAAAGTGCCTGTCTATCAGATACTGTGGTGATGAAAGCTAGAGACAAAAACACATCTTTTAAAAAGTGGAAGTCAACTCTGACTGAGGAAAACAGAAAGGAACAAACTCTGGCAAGTCAAGTATAAAAGTATAATTAGACAAGCCAAAAAAAAAAAAGAAATTTGAAGAACAACTAGCTAAAGAAACAAAAACTAACAGCAAAATCTTTTTTAAGAACATCAGAAGAAAGAAACCTGCCAAACAATCAGTGGGGCCACTGGACGATCAAGATGTTAAAGGAGCACTCAAGGAAGACAAGGATATTGTGGAGAACCTAAATAAATTCGTTGCATCGGTCTTCACTGCAGAAGATATAAGGGAGATTACATCTCAGTCATTCTTTTTAGGTGACAGATCTGAGGAACTGTCCCAGATTGAGTTGTCAGTAGAGGAGATTTTGAAACAAACTGATAAATTAAATGGTAATACATCACCAGGAGCAGATGGTATGCACCCAAGAGTTCTGAAGGAACTCAAATATGAAATTGCAGAACTAGTAGTTGTGGTATGTAACCTATCCATTAAATCAGCCTCTGTACCAGATGACTGGAGGATAGCTAATGTAACGCCGATTTTTTTTAAAAGGCTCCAGAGGCAATCCTAGCAATTACAGGCCAATAAGCCTAACTTCAGTACCAGACAAATTTGCTGAAACTATAGTAAAGAACAGTATCAGAGGGGTAGCCATGTTAGTCTGGACCTGTAAAAAGCAACAGAGGGTCCTGTGGCACCTTTAAGACTAACAGATGTATTGGAGCATAAGCTTTCATGGGTGAATACAGCAAAGGCTTTTAAGCAAAGTAAGCCGTCATGGGATAAGAGGGAAGGTCCTCTCATGGATCAGTAACTGGTTAAAAGAACAGCGTGTAGGGATAAATGGTCAGTTTTCACAGTGGAGAGAGGTAAACAGCAGAATCCCACAAGGATCTGTACTAGGGCCAGTGAGATTCAACTTGTTTATAATTGACCTGGAAAAAGGGGTGAACAATGAGTTGGGAAAGTGTGCAGATGGTACAACATTATTCAAGATAGTTAAGTCCCAGGCAGACTGCAAAGAGTTACGAAGTGATCTTGGGTGACTGGACAACAGTGACAGATGAAAATCAATGTTGATAAATGCAAACTAATGAACATTGGAAAACACAATCGCACCTATACATACAAAATGATGGATTCTAAATTAGCTGTTATCATTCAAGAAAGATCTTGGAGTCGTTGTGAACAGTTCTCTGAAAACATCTGCTTAATGTGCAGCAGCTGTCCAAAAAGCTAAACACAATGTTAGGAACCATTAGGAAAGGGATCGATAATACAACAGAAAATATCGTAATGCCACTATATAAATCAGTGATACACCCACACCTTGAATAATGAATGCAGTTCTGGGTCTCCCATCTCAAAAAAGATACATTAGAATTGGAAAAAATGCAGAAAAAGGCATGAAAAAATGATGAAGGGTATGGAACAGCTTCCATATGAGGAGACATTAAAAAAAACTGGGATTGTTCAGCTTAAAAACAGATGACTAAGGGGGGATATGATAGAGGTCTATAAAAATCACAAATGGTGTGGAGAAAGTGAATAAGGAAGTGTTACTTACCCCTTCACGTAACACAAGAACCAGAGATCATGCACGGAAATTAATAGGCAGCAAGTTTAAAACATACATAAGGAAGTACTTCTTCACATAATGCACAGTCAACCTGTGGAACTCATTGCCAGGGGATGTTCTGAAGGCCAAAAGTATAACTGGGTTAAAAAAAGAATTAGATAAATTCACTGAAGATAGTCACTGATTAACCTATTAGCCAAGATGGTCAGGGATGCAACCCCATGCTCTGGGTGTCCCTAAACCTCTGACTGCCAGAAGCCAAGACTGCATGACAGGGGATGGATCACTTGATAATTGCCCTGTTCTATTCATTCCCTCTG